ATTAATATAATACTCAACGGAATTACCAATTTAATATAATCTTAACATAAATGGTAAAATCTAATGGGATCAACAATTTCGTTCTCTCTTCTAGATCATCATTCTTATAAATTAAATATATATTTCTAATCCTCAATACATGTAAAATCTAATGGGATCAACAATTCCTCAAACAAAAATAATTATAAAATTAATCATAATATTAAGGGACTTTTTCTCTACCCAATTCCCTCATGTAACTCTACATACAAAAATCCCCTTTTCCCCTGTACCTGAATAAATAGTAGTTGAACTAAAACAAAGATCTCCCTGGTCTCTTCCTCTGAGTGCCCCTCGATCCACAAAGAGTGTAGAAGGAAAATAAGAGAGCAAAGAAGAAAAAAAGAGAAAAGTGAAAAGTGTGCTTTTTAGAAGTATCAGAGTGCTCTATTTATAGGCATCAAGTGTCTCTGGAATGACCCGTTCCAAATCCGGAACGAACCGTTCTGAATCCTTAAATCATGAGTAAAATTCACATCCAGAACGACCCGTTCTCAAACCAGAACGGCCCGTTCTGGGTTTGCATTAAAAACTCTCAATGGTCATATTTTAGAAAGGCTCGTTCCAACTCTAGAACGGCCCGTTCTCAATAAGTTTTAAAGGCCATTTCTGAAATCCGGAATGACCCGTTCCCAACTAAGAAGGCAAATTTAATAGTTTGGAACGGCCCGTTCGATTTTGGGAAAGGCCCGTTCCGAGTTACTAAATCACCTTCGTTTTAGTAACTTGGAACGGCCCGTTCTGAGATACTAAAACACTCTTGTAAATTACTAAATTACCCTCATTGGGCTTTTGGGCCCTCGTACATTCTATGAAAATTTAGCTGTAACACTACCAAAAGCTATAAAACATGCAAAGGAAAGCAACTTAAAATATATACTAGTCGAATTCCTAGGTAAAGGTTTTCAAATCACCTTCAAACTACACGAAATTACTACCAAATTAAAGAGGTTTAAAATGGCAAATTAAAAACCAAAAAAATGAATGAAACTAAGGCCAAAACACAAGAGGCCGAAAATTTAACAAGAAAGAAGTAAGTAGAAAAGGAAGTCTCCAAGTCTTCAATTCTCCACCCCTTCACAATGAACACCCAATGTTAGCCTTTCAATGGTGTTTGCACTCTTTGATTTGGTGTGATCCTCCAAAGTTCCTTGAACTCCAATCGGACAACCCCTCCACTCAATCCACCAAGAAAGTGTGTGGTGTTTTAGAAGCTTTCCTCACCTAGGTCAAGAAGAAAACACAACCCAAGAGTACAAGAGGCCAAGAAAGAAAAACTAAAAAGCACAATTAAGAAGAGGCTAAACTCAAATGGAATTTATGAGACAAACTTAAGAGTAGAAAGAAGACTCAAAACTGAAATTAAGGCATATTAATAAAAAGCAAGCACACAAAAAAGTAAATCCTAGAATGGCACTAGAATAGAAGGGCAAGTGTTTGATAAAATGTTGCACTTAACATGTTTGATTTATTGTCTCATTCGGCCATTAAGCATTGTCCAATGGTCCAAAAATTAACTCCAAGTGCTAAGGTATGAAAATTGGTCCAAAACTCCACAAGTCTAGCAAAGGGTTCCCTTTTTCTTGTTTTTGTTTCTTTTATCTTTTTAGGCTTGTCCAAGTCTCGATTTTAATGTTCCAAGTCAGCCACTTTTCCTTTTTTCTTCTTTGAAGTTTATACTATTCCTTTGCTTGGATTTTACACTTGTGTTTGTTGGTTTTTTTGTTAGCAACTTTTTGGAGTATTCTTTTAGCAACTTACACTAGCTCAATGAGACAAGATTTGAGTGTTTTTCTTAGGATTTTAATAGCCCATGTCCAGCAGCAAAAGTAGGCATATAGAAATCAATTTCACACTCAAATCATCAAACATCATCTAGGCATAAATGTACACCAAGGAATTCACAAAATTTGGCCGAAAATTTGAAGTAAGTATGTGCAAAGAAATTAATCACACATGATATTTTAAGTGATGTAGAACATGCTAGAACTAATTAGCATGCATGATTGACTCTCTAAAGCACACTAAACCCCACGACCATTTCAACAAACACAAAGCATGCATATCATATTTTGATCATGAAAGTGTTTAGGCATGTGTACTTAGAATTTTCTTTCAAGAAAAATTAGGGAGAAACATACTCTTATGACAAAACTTAATAGATTAAAAAAAAAGAAAAACACATGATCATCATTTTCTTAGCATGCACCAAAATTTTCCAGCCACCCAAACTTAAACAAAAAAATGGACGAATCCTACACAAGGAAACCTAGGCACCAAGATGATTCATAAGAAAGTTTATAGCGTGAACCAATGATCAACACAAGACACATAAACCATGAGAATGTATATATCAAGCACAACTTTTAAGACAAGCAAGAAGACACATTAGACATGATCGGATTTATGAGAGGCAAAAACGTACCCTTGAAGAACCTTTGGCTCTAGATACCACTTGATGGCATCCTTCCTAGCATTGATGGATAAATGTTGATCAATAAGAAGGAAACCTTGACTCCTTGGATCAAGGTCTTAAAAGGTGCAAGGAATGGTGAAGGAAATGTGGAGATGGACGTTGAAGGTGAAGTGTTTGATGAAAGGTTTGAGAGGTGCACTCTAGGGTTGGCTCACTCCAAGGTAGTTGAAGGCCACTTCTAGGGTTTTTCTCTCAAGGTGGAGATAGGATGGGAGCTGGCCGAAAATAGCCAAGGGGACTAAGGATGATATAAAGGCAAAATGCTCTCTTTATATTCAATATCCAAAGTGTTTACAAGAGGTGAGTCCTAAGGTATTTATAAGTGTGGGGTGAGGTCATGACCTAGGGAAGTGTGACGGTTAGGTCATCATTGGATGAGCATTCTTTCCCACACTCACATGTAACCCTAAAAGTGCCGCCCAAGTAACCCTAAAAATGGTACCTTTTTGGGTGAAGCTAAGCTACATCTAGGTGCATAATGAGAATATGCAACCTAGGTGCCCTTCCACTTGGGCCAATGCTAATCTTAGCCCAAAAGATCCATTATTGTCACGGCCTTACACTTATAATACTTAGGAAAATAAAGCCCTAATTTCTAAGTACCCCAAAATACAAGGGCAAAATAGAAAATACAAAGAAAATAAATTCTAAGTCCTAAACACCCCAAAATACAAGGATAAAATTGACAAATAAAATAAAACCTATACTAATGAAGCTTAGGAGAGTATTAATACTCTATAATCATGAGGAGAGTGTCCCTTGGTGTGTGAGCTCCTTCCTCCTTTTCCACTTTCCTAGTCATGGACCTAGTGATGGGACCCATATGTATCCTCAAGGATGGTCCTCCATAGAACTTATGAAGCTCAATTCTCAAAAGAAACCTTATATATCCTTTTCCTTTAGAGTAACTAAACTTTAAATAGCTTACCCAACACAGTGTTACAAATATTATATCAAATATTTGTCCATGCCTTGATTTTTAATATTTTTATTAAAAAATCTATAATATTTATTTTTTCCTTTTATTTTGATATATTTGTTTATATATATTTTCTTATAATTTTTTTATAATAATATATATAAGTATTTAAGAAGGGAGTTATCGAAGGAAATAAATATTTAGAACATGTTGATTGGAAGAAAAAGAATTATACGTAATTTCTTTTTTTATATATATATATTATTTATAGGTATCGAAATTTATAATAAGAACAATACGGCCAGGATCATAACCTCTACGATTTTAAAAAAAAAACCGCACACCGTGTTATTGTTAATCTCACCATTAAATACAATAAATTTAATTGATTTTAAATTTTATTTTTTGATGAAATAAAAAAAAATTCAACGTATGAGACTCATGCAATTTAACTTATAACAGTAGATGATTACAATACAGTATGACGAACGCTCTAGTTATTACAATTTTATATATTGTAACAAATTTATTGGCTAATTAAAATATTAAAATTTCAAAATCATGGATGAAACTGTAAAACTCAATGTTTTAAAACTGTACCAAGGTGAAAGCACTGACTCATGGTTTATCAATTGAATCATAGTTGAACAAGTAGTATTTAATTTTATACTATAATAATATTTTCAGTAATAAAATAGAAAATATTAAAAATATAAGATATCGAGATATAAAAAAATTAATTAATAAAAATGACTAAAACAAATGTTATATAAGATAAAAAGATAATAGTAAATGACAAAAATATATACCTATGTGTATGTATAACACTATAACCCTTATATGCATTTTTATTTATCATAAAAATGTTTGATATTAAATTGAAAGCATGAAAAATTTATTGGTTCAAAATCCGAATTTCTGCACTAATTTTTTTACCAGTTATTACCAATTATTTTTACTAATTTTTGCTCGGACCTATTCAACTGAATTTGAAATGATTCAATTTTTTAGGTTAACAAACGGTCACTAAATAGAATACTGATCAGATTTGGCTTCTAAAACTACCGTGAAACCCGTTAAAGAACACAACTTGCATCATTTCGAAATTGCAGACAAATTTCAATTATAGTAAAATGCGTTTGATAGCATTTTTCTTCATAAAAAAATAACTTTCACCATAACTAAAGTTACTGTTTGTATTAAGGCAAACATATATTGTGCTAATTTCTTTTTCGTGGATCGAACTTGGGGACTCTACCTTTTGCTTTCATGTGATTACGAATCTGATGTAGCTCACTAGGCAACCTTACTCATGAATTGAATTCACCTTATGATTGAAGCCTCATCTCAACAGAAACTCCACAATTTCTTCAGAAGTATTCATAAAAATAAAAATAAAATAAAATAAAAACGAAGGAAAAAATGAAATAACTTTTCCATGAGCTAAAACAATTTTTTTGGAAAATTTTGTATGAAAAGGCTTTAACAAATTATCTTATGATTAATATACGGGGAAACTTATTTATTTTCCTTTGTATTTTTTCCTATAAGTGCTAATAGAGAAGGTTATCCAAACAATTGCAAATTTCATACATATAAAGAATGAACCCGGATTCAGTCCCTGAAAATGAAAGCTTCTAAAACAAAATATCCTGAAAGAATAACTCATCCAGAATCCAGATGACAAATTGTGTGGCATTACTACTCCATTGACATGCCTCCCAAATTGAAATGTGGCTGTGATTTGACTGAATAATGTTACCTCCAAAATAAGTAACGAACAATGGATTATTACGATTCTAAGCTATAGCACCAACCATGTAGATTTTAAGGAGCCGTATCAAAGGGTTTTGTATCGTTGTAACAGATATCCCACACAGCTTCCATAGAATCCTTGGCAGCATGACCAACACAACTGCGATGCCTAGAAATAGATTGCAAAACTCTTCTTCTCACACATTCCTTCAAGTACCATTATATTAATTCAGTACTGAACAAATTACAGAAAAAAGTCTAAAATCTCAAATATACGAAAGCAAAGAGAGAAATGCTTGACAGAATAACAGATGTAATTTTGAGGAAAACAGACATTGTACCTGATTTCATGTTAAATTGGTTTATAAAATCTTTTTTGCCCCCTTATATTTCCAGTAAGGGGGGCAAGTTATATTAAGCCATTCTAAGTTTTGTAGTCAATAATTTCACCATTATTCACATCCCATAAGTCACTAAGGTTTTGAATGACACAGTCTTTGGAGATAGCAAGCTTGTTACAGTATAAAGCAACGTAGAAAAAGTGATTTGATGCAATAATGATCATAAAAGAAGATATTAAAAACAAAGAGAGAAGAGAAAAGATTAGACCAATCTTCTATGCAACTTTATCACATAAATTGAAATTGTGATCAAAGAAAAAACGATGCTTCAGTTTGTATTCACAAATGCAACAAAGAATGGTTGAAATTTCATTTTCTAAGTGTATGCTATATACTATATACTATTATATTTTAAATTTCATTCATCAGCTAGAGTGGCCATTTAGGAGTATGGGAATTAGAGATCTAGTAACTCGTGCAAGTATCCCACAAAATTGGAAATACCACAACATCTTTATGTGGCCACCAACAAGGAGAAAAACAAAATGCACAAGTTTCCATAAATTTTCTACTCAAGTATTCCTTCACCAATGTTTAATCAAAGGAAAGGTGTTGTTTACTCTACATATTCTATATTCCACCAACACAACAAGACATTTGCACTAATCTCTGGCAAGCAGACAAAATTCTAGTTATCATACCAAGTCTTCAAACACTTAACATGGTCTGTGATTTTTCAATTTCTACCTTGATCCTATAACCTAATTCTCAGTATTGATCTAATCATATCTGATATACTCATCAGTCAAGCATGATATAACAGCTAAATAGACTCTTGACAGCACTAAACCTTCAGACAAAATTGGTAGTCCTGCAGGTTCATATGATTAAGAGGATTAAACTAACAAGAGAGGTGGTCATGTCTGGATTGCCTCTGAGTAATTTAGATATCAACAAAGATGAGGACTTACTTTTCCTTATCTTAATCCTTTAATAACTAATTTTCTTACATGGGTGATATTAGAAGTAGTGACAGTAGACATCGCCTTAAATTCAAATTGATATTTCAAATAAAATGATAATGACTGAATTCCTCAATTTTATAATTTTTCCATCCCTGTTGACCTTTTATTTGATGATCAGTTTCAGAATATGCTATAGTGCAAATGCAATAAGCAGTTGTTTAAATACTGTACTCTTCCTAATCCTTCATATGTACATGCAAGAAACTAGCAGACTAGCAAAAAGCTGTGGGATGCTTCATATTACCGATCCATGCCTCAAATAGCAATTTTAAAACTTTTGAGGCAAAAGGCAAATTAAGTTAACCTTAATATTTTCTCTTCGTCTTATTGATAACTAGATACTTGAATTAAAAAGTAGATATGAAAAGATACCATGTTTAATCTACAAAAAGATTCAACTAAAATAGATGAGTTGTATACTTGTATTAATGAAGGAGGGATATCAGAAGTTTACCGGTTCATGCCCTTGCAGTTTCATGAAACCTCTTAGTAGTTCTCGCATGTAATGGCAATCACCACTTAGATGATTCGCTCGTATCTTTTTTCACAAAATCATAAAGAAATATTAATTATCGGAGAGAGAGTCACCTAATATATGATCGGAAGACAGTGTAAG